CCCCCAAATGTTAAATAACTTGCCTAAAGTTACCCAGTACATAAGTGTGAAAGTTAGGGGAAGATTTATTTTTATCCTACTAATATATAGTCCATTATGCAATGGAAGTTAAATAGAAACTCCTGATTAATAGTAACATAATCATTAAAGAAATTAAGCACGATCTTAAAATTTTAAGTGATTGCATGCACACTCTACTGTTTATATACATATTATTTTTACATGTTTATTATTAAAGCAGACATATCATTCAGTGATCTACACTTTTCTTTGATACCTCGGTATAATTCTACCTTTCTCCTCATATTGGACACAAGAAACCAAAGAGACAGAATCTTGCTCTGTTGCCTAGGCTGGAGTGCAGTAACTTGATCACAACTCACTGCAGCCTCGAACTCCTGGGTTCAAGTGATACAACTGCCTCAGTCTCCTGAGTAGTTGAGACTACAGGCACATGTCACCACATCTGGCTAATTTTTAAATTTTTTTGTAGAGACGGGGTCTCACTATATTGCCCGGGCTGGTCTTAAACTCCTGGGCTCGAGCAATCCTCCTGCCTGAGCCTCCCAAAGTGCTGGGATTACAAGTGTGAGCCACCATGCCCAGTCCATTTTTAAACTCATTTTTAGGAGTTTTTAAATAAGTTTTGGATACTAATTGCTTTGTTACATGTTTTGCAGTTATCGTCTCTTAATTTGTGGATTATCATTTCACTTTCATCAAAAAATGACAAGTTCTGGAAACATGAAATATTCCTCCACTTATTTAGGCCTTCTTTATTATCTTTCAACACTTTTATGATTTTTCCATAAAGGCCTTATACATCTTGTATTAGTCAGCTTGGGCTGCCATATAAGAATACCATAGACGAGGTGGCTTAAGCAATTTATTTTCTCACAGTTTTGGAAGCTGGAAGTCTGAGATCAGGGCATCACCATAGTCAGGTTCTGGTGAAGGGCATCTTCCTGGCTTGCAGACAGCTGCCTTCTCACTGTGTCCTCATATGGCAGAGAGAGACAGAGAGAGCGCGCGAGCGCAAGCGAGCTCTGGTGTTTCTTCCTCTTTATATAAGGGCACCAGGTCTACTGGATCAGGCCACCCTCATGACCTCATTTAACCTTTATCACCTCCCTAAAAGGCCCTATCTCCAGTATAGTCATATGGAGGGTTAGGGCTTCAACATATAAATTTCGGGGGGACACAAAAGCACATCTTTTGTTAGATTTAGTCCTAAATACTAAATATCTTTGATGGTATCATAAATGGTTTTATTTTTCTTATCTCATTACTTTTCTTATTCTAACACTTTTAAGTGTTTTATGGTATATAAACTTTAATTTTTGCATATCGATTTTGTAACAACTTGCTTTTATATATAAGAGCATATAACAGACTTAAAATATTATCAAATGTCACCTTTTTTGAAAATTTCTTTATTTCACATTTATTACTACACAGTTACATAATCCTCAAAATCTAAGCTTACAACCGATCATCACATTAGCTCCCTTATCTATATACACATCTGTTAGACAGTGGAAAAAAACAATTCTGTACAGTATTTTAGTAGTTACATGATTTGAGAGCAACAGAGAAGTAGTGAAAGCTGAAGAACTCCCAATGCATTACTCTCAGGATAACCACTCTGAAACATAAGAAACTAGGCAATAAAGGAAAAGTTCCTGTTCAGTCACTGAAAAATGCTAACGGCATTTTATGATGAGATAAATGCTTTAAGTTAATACACAACCTACTAGGCAAATAAAACTGCACATAGGTTGTACTTCTGCACTTAAATATTTGTAGTATGGCACTACCCATTTATCTGACATTTAATAATACATAAAATTTTAAGCATGCGTTCTCAAAACAGTTGCTTGATATTTTGGTATAGTGTCTGGTGTGCTTTATTCATGTATCTGTTCTTCTTTCGCAAGGTTCAGTGGGACTGTGCAATGCTGGAACAGTAATCCAGAATGTCCTGAATAGTGAACTCCATTGTAACACCAGAGCCAGGGTAACAGCGAGCTATCAAACCTTCAAAGTGCTTGTACTGGCGTATAAATTCATCTTGCATGGAGTGCCACACCACCTATTATAAAAAAGAAATTGAAAGTCATTAAACTATGAATGGAAATAATGTTAATATATAATCACATATGTAGAAATAATGTCAGGACATAGTCTAAGAATTTGGCATAGTATAGTAGTTAAGAACATGCATTCTGAAGCTAGAATCCTAACTCCTTGTCAAAAAAATTTTCTTTTGTAGAAACAGGATCTCAACTATGTTGCCGAGGCTGGTCTCGAACTCTTGGCCTCAGGTGATCTTCCCATCTTGGCCTCCCAAAGCAGTGGGATTACAGGCGTGAGCCACTGCAACTGGCCTTTATCCTAGCTCCTTTTACTTCCAAGATTTGTGAC